AAAAGAGAACTGTGGGCAGCCACAGGGAAAAGACAAATGACTTATGAAGGCACAACAGTAAGATTAATAGCAGATTTCTCAACATTAACAATGGAAGCAAGAAGTCAGTGGAAGAGTAACATCTGCAAAATGCTGAGACAAAGAGATTTTCAGGTTGATTTTTGACAAGTCTACATATATGCTATTTATAAGAGATAACAAAATGTTGAAAGAGGATGAAAAAATATATTCCAGGCAAGTAGATAGGAAGACACAATTTCATACAGATGTCAGTTCTCTAAATTAATCTGTGAATTCAATTGCAATTGAATTGCAATTCTAATTAAAATTCAAACAGGATTTTTCTTGGACCTTGACAAGCTGGTTTTACATTTCAGTAGAAAAACATAGACAAGAATAACTAGTTTCAAAGACGCACAACGTTTGGGTTTACCAGGTATAACTACTTATTATAAAGGTCTAATAATTCAGAGTGGTATTGATGAAGGCACAGAAAAATAGATAAATAGTTTAGAGCAGAAAGCACAGAAAAATGCCCATGCCTGTATAGAAATTGAAAAACATCAGAGTGCCATGGAAGATCAGTGGCAAAGAATGGTGTCCAGACAATTGGTTATTCATATGGGAAAAAAATAAAGCTGAATGTTCACATTATAAACAAAAATCAATTCCAGGGTTGGCTGAAGATCTAAATAGGAAAGATAAAAGTTTTGCACTTTTAGAAGAAAATGCTTATGATCTCAGGTTAGGGAAATATTTCTTATAAGTAACAAAAAGTGTAAATAACAATTTGATAACTTCACTGATACTAAATTTTAAAACTGTGCTCCAAAGACACAAACAGTAAAAAAAATAAGCTATTGACTCTGAGAAGGTATCATATAGTTTGAATGTCTTTTTCCCACCAAATCTCAGGTTGAAATTTGATTCCCATGTTGGAAGTTGGGCCTGGTGGGAGGTGACTGGATCACGGGGACGGATCCCTCATGAATGGTTTAGCATCATCCCCTTGGTGATAAGTGAGTTCTCACTCTTAGTTCCTGTGAGATCTAGTTGTTCAGAGTGTTGAACCTACCCCCACCATCTTTCTTGCTCCTGCTCTTGCCATGTGATATTGCCTGCTCCTCCTTTACCTTCTGCCATGATTGTAAGCTTCCCGAGGCCTCATCAGAAGCTGAGCAGATGTTGGTGCCATGCTTGTATAGCCTGCAGAACCATTGGCCCAGACACACTTCTGTTTTTTTATAAATCACCCAGTCTCAGGTGTTCTTAAAAGAACAAATGGACTAACACAAGATATATGCAACATATTTTGCTCATAAATATTAGTAGTAGATTTTATAAAGTATCCAAAATATATGGAGACCTACTATTAAAAAGACAGATAACCCAATAGAAAAAGACAGGCAATTCCCTAAAGGAAAAAACAAAATAGTAAATGAACATAGAAAAAGTACTAGTAATCAGGAAAATGGACATTAAAACCATAGTGAAATACTGTTTCACACCCTTCGGCTTGGCTAAAATTTTAAATCTGATGATAATGTGAAAATAAATATAGCTTAAAAGCTGTTGGAATCCCAAAACACTTTAAGCACTGAGAGAGATGTGACTGTGATCTGAGTCATGACTCAGATCATATATGATTACAACTTCTGTTTCTCAGATTATGGATTAACTTACTTTCTTTTTTTTTTTTTTTTTTTTTTTTTTGAGACGGAGTCTCGCTCTGTCGCCCAGGCTGGAGTGCAGTGGCCAGATCTCAGCTCACTGCAAGCTCCGCCTCCCGGGTTCCCGCCATTCTCCTGCCTCAGCCTCCCGAGTAGGTGGGACCACAGGCGCCGCCACCTCGCCCGGCTAATTTTTTGTGTTTTTAGTAGAGACGGGGTTTCGCCGTGTTAGCCAGGATGGTCTCGATCTCCTGACCTTGTGATCCGCCCGTCTCGGCCTCCCAAAGTGCTGGGATTACAGAACTTACTTTCTTATTTTTCTTGTTCTGTACAATAACTAGAGACAATTAAATGACACCAGGAACAACAACCTCCTGCTTTCCTAATTAATGGCCTTTGTTATTGATTAACATCCCCTTTGTTGTCCTGCTTTGCTGATCGCAGATGACAAACCCATCACTATTATACCCTTTATAGATATTTAAAAAAATGCTAAATGTAGCATTCCCACAAACACTGCCTACCATCAATCAAAGTGCTATAACTATGTACCACCTTGTATGAAAACTGTTGTAATCTTGCTAAATCTACTCTGTCTCTCCCTATATATAAACGAAACCTTAACTTTCCTACTTTGAACTGCCAGCTCCATTCCTTAGAGTTGGTTTCCTGGTGGACTATTCTCAAACTTTGCATTTGAATAAAGTCTTTTAAAATTAGATTCTAACCTGTTTGATTATTTCAGGGTGATAATACCAACAATTGATGTGGCTATGAAACAATTTACAGTAATGATCATATAAATTGGTAATCGCTTGGTAGAATAAGTTGAAAATATGTAATAAAGTTGAAAATACACATACGATAAGATGCAATAATTCCCTTTTTAGGTATGCACTGCAGACAAACTCTTGCACATGGCAGGAAACATGTCGAAGAATATCTAATGTATCATGCTGATACAGCAGCTAAAAAGAAATTATTTAGGCAGATAGTGAGGGTAAAGGAGTCCTTGGTAAGGCTGCCTTTTAAACAAAAAGCAGCCCCCAAATCATTTCTTTTCTAACAAAGAGCAGCCTGTAAAATCAAGCTGCAAACACAGATAAGCAAGCTGGAAGCTTATATGGGTGAATGCTGGCAGCTGTGCCAACAGGAAAAGGCTACCTCAGGACCAGGTATATTCAATATAGAGACTCCATCTTCCCTTTTCTTTGTCACCACGTGTGCAGTAAAGAAGCAGGCAACATGGCACCCGCCACGTAGAGAACCCATCTGCACAGTAAAAGATTAGGGTGGGGCAGCCAGCTTCTCTGCATGCTATGCAAATGAAACACCCAGTCCTAACCAGTTCTTCGTGCGGTATGCAAATGGCACAACTGGTTTGACCAATCTTTTGTGCCCTAGGTAAATCAGACACCGCCTCCTCAAGCTCATCTATAAAACCTCCTGCACTTCACTGCGGACCTGAAGACCCGCTCTGGACTCCCTCTATCTGCGCATTTCTCTTTCTTTCGCGTATTAAACCACCACTGTTAACTTCACTCCATATGTGGCGTCCTTGATTTCCTTGGCGTGGGACAACGAAGCTCGGGTATTAGCCCAGGTCAATGACACCACTTGAATTCTTTTATAGTAGGAAATTGGAAACAAACAAAATGTCCATTATCAGAAGAATGAATAAATAAATTGTCTATATAATGGAATGCTAAGTAACAGTGCAAGTGAATGAGCTAGAGCTGTCGTTGTCAACATGGATAATTCATACAATGTTGAATGGTAAATGTGAACTTCAGAAGTACACATGTGGTATACTGGTACTGGTCTTAGACTGGTGCAAATGGAGCCCCTGTCGCGGGTCCCACATCTCAGGAGCTAGGGCGGAGCTTGGACAGAGACTCAGATGACTAGCCTTCCTCTCCACCCTTTGCACAGCGCCTGAGGTTGACCAGATGCCCCTAGCAGCCCTGGGCTGTGCCTTTAGGTGCCAAATCTTGGTTCCAGGAAGAACTGTGAGCAGATTGCTCCTGTTGGCTGGCGCAGTTGGCTGGTGTTCCTGTTGGCAGATGGCATAGCACAAGATTGGGCTGCCAGAATGGTACTAATATGCAGGTTTGGGCAACTCAAATTGTTTATATAGACAGGCGCCCCCACAAAAAATATTTGCTTATGACTCCACACACCTTTGGGCACATAAAGCTTAAAAATGTGCAGTATAGGCCGGACACGGTGGCTCACGCCTGTAATCCTAGCACTTTGGGAGGCCAAGTCAGGCGGGTCACGAGGTCAGGAGACCGAGACCATCCTGGCTAACATGGTGAAACCCGTCTCCACTAAAAAAATACAAAAAATTAGCCCGGCATGGTGGCAGGCGCCTGTAGTCCCAGCTACTCAGGAGGCTGAGGCAGGAGAATGGTGTGAACCCAGGAGGGGGAGCTTGCAGTGAGCCGAGATCCGGCCACTGCACTCCAGCCTGGGCGACAGAGCGAGACTCCGTCTCAAAAAAAAAAAAAAAAAGAGATCGAGACCATCCTGGCCAACACGGTGAAACTCCGTCTCTACTAAAAATACAAAAATTAGATGGGCGTGCTGGCGGGCGCCTGTAGTCCCAGCTATTGGGGAGGCTGAGGCAGGAGAATGGCATGAACGTGGGAGGCGGAGGTTGCAGTGAGCCGAGATCGCGCCACTGCACTCCAGTGTGGCAGCAGAGCGAGACTCCATCTCAAAAAAAAAAAAAAAAAAAAAGTGCATTATAACACCTACACCTACATAGTGTTCAGCGATGTTTACATATGTTGTAAAAGAAGTCCACGGGCCGGGCGCGATGTCTCACGCCTGTAATCCCAGCACTTTCGGAGGCTGAGGCGGGTGGATCATCTGAGGTCAGGAGTTGGAGACCAGCATGGCCAACATGGCGAAACCCTGTCTCCCCTAAAAATACAAAAATTAGCCGGGTGTGGTGGCAGACGCCTATAATCCCAGCTACTTGGGAGGCTGAGGCGGGAGAATCGCTTGAACCCGGGGGATGGTGGGGGGATGCAGGCGGAGGTTGCAGTGAGCTGAGATCCCGCCGCTGCACTCCAGCCTGGACCAAAGAGCAAAACTCCGTCTCAAAAAAAAAAGAAAAAAAGAAGTCCGTGGAAATGAGAATAATCAATTTAGGGTAGGAATTGTTACTTGAAGGGAGGGAAGAGATTAGATTAGGGTTAGGGTTGTGCTGGGGGCTGTTTTTATCATGTTTTATTTCTTAAGCTGGGTGTTGGGGGAGTAAAAGGTGCTGGTTGTGTTACTTTTTATGCCTTTGTGTATATATATTTTTTTTTTTTTTTTAAGAGGAAGAAGTGAAGATAAACCACTCGAAGAGGGTGTCTGCGCTTCCGTGGTGGCTGGGACAGCAGCAGTGGTGCTGTCCATCTGCTCGGCCGGCCGAGGGGTGGCACATCCTAGCCTCTATCTTTTCCCCAGAGAATATCCCTCTCTGCGCTTCCCCCATCTCAGCCTTTTAGTGTGTAAACAGTTCTAGTGTGACTCATCGGTGCTTGTGTTAGCCCCTTTACCAGCAAGTACTTGTTAAACACTTAAATCTTACAAATGGAAAGAAAATTCCATGGTAAATTTAAGTATAAAAGTCAACCAAAATTCTGAGTCTCGGACAAGACTGGTTAAAAATCGTTCTACGATGAAACTAATATATTAAATTCAATCATAGAAAACCTTCCTTGCTTTGCAAGGAACCTTAAGTATTTAAATGTAGGCATTTTCATCTGGTGATTCTTCCCAGTCTCCTGTGGTAATAATACCTGGACAGGGAAGAAACCTTTTGAGATAAATAAACTCTACTGGAAAATGGGCGCTTGCTAAGTTTCCTGTGGCAGTGACGCCTCCTCTGTTGCAAACATGCCAAACCCGTTCTACAGCGTGCTTTGTACCTTTCCAGAGACTGATCAGTATCAGCTTGCCAGGGCTTTAAACCCCATTCATTCTTTCATTACTTAAAAGCCTCTTTCTTTGGAAAACCTTTGAGTGAAGCATAAAATTAGCATCTAAAAAGACATAGCAGCAACTGAACCCAGGAACGTTAGGGAATATGTGACCACCAGCACCATTATTGACCTTCCTAAGTGCAGTTTGATGTGGGAAGGGGCTGTGCAGGTGGGAAAAGGTGGCCGAGGTGGAGGTCCCCAGGCAGGGGCAGTCGCCTCTCTGGCCTGAGCCCGAAACTCCCAATTCTCATGGGTGGCTGATGAGAGAACCCCTCCCCTCCTTTGTATTTAATCCTTTCTCTAACTCACTTCTAAGCCGACATCAGCAAATCTTTGAAGAAAAGCACAGGGGAGGCCTGTTTCAGTGACTTTCACTTCTCTAAATGTTTGTTCTTTTCAGTTAGGTGTAAAATATGTTTGAATTATATTTTCAATTCTCTTTCACCACTGTTCTATAAAATGTGAGCCTGTAGGCATTGTTGTTTTAAGTGAAAAAGAAAAGATTGATTTTAGGAATCACATGCAAAGTGTTTGTTGAATCAGGGCTCAGCTTAGCATTCAAGAACATGACTGGGAAGTTTCCACTTCGTTTTTGTCCTAGATTCATCTTTACCTCTTTTGTCTCCTATATTTTTCCAGCTCTGTGGATTTCTTTGAAGAGGGCTATGAGGATTGAAGAAAGAAAAGCTTTTCTCCAGTAATTTATAATTATCCTGTTGGATGCTTATGAAGTATTTTTTGTATATTTAACCCCTCAGAGAAAATCTGAGCATATCTCTACCCTTAAAAAGTCTGGTAGCCTGATGGCGGGTGGCGGGGAGAGAAGAAATCCTGTTTCTCCTTTCCCTGATTTTGTCCCCAAACTACATCTTGCTTTGAAAGTAGGGGAGTTGGAAGGAGAGGAGTTAGCCTCTTATGGGGGCCCTGGAGTGCAGCTAGCTGCCAATCTTGGTGTGCATTTTGTCAAGAATGGCTGCTTTCTAAAAACAAACCAACTTTCCTTGATCCCTCAGGTCAGGGATCTGGGAGAGACTGGATGGTATAAAAGGGGTTTCCAAGGCAAAAAAGCATTGCTCTCATGGGGCATTTATGGAGGATGTTGTCAGTGGGCACTTGGAAGTTCTAGAAGTCATGTGGGGCACTGGCGTCTGCAGTTCCTGGTGTGCTCAGGACATTCTGTGTCTGCATAGAGGGTTGCTGCACAATGGCTGGCCAGCTCATACCTGTACAATTACTTCTAGCACCTTGGCAAGCAGGAAAGGGATTACAAATATACCAACAGGGTAGGCTTTTGCTCTGGGGAAGAGGCTGATTTGGGGTGAATAGTTCATACCACAGGAAGCCTGCTGTGTGTGGTGGGCAGGTGACATTTGGACTGAGCTCCTGGTGGCTTTTGGCTCTCTTCCAGTTTGGCCTAACAATGAAATTACACATTGAAGGGGTTTGTTACTGTTGACCTTTATTCCAAAGCCCGGCTTCTTGGTAAAGGCATCCATGTTCTCCATGTCTACACTTCCTCATCCCCCATTCATTCCCCATCAGCCCACAGTTTGCTTTCAGCCTTCATGGCTCCTGGGAAATGTCTTCCCCTCTGCTGCCATCCTGGGGCCCCTCCCGAGGCTTAGTCTCCTTCCTTTTCTGCCCAGAGCTCAGCCCCTTGGCTGCTTTGCCACCTCCCTCCTCTAAAGTCACCCACTTTGGGAGCTTCTCGTTTTTCTGCCTCTGCCTCCTTTGCCCTTCCCTTATGTTTGGTTGTTCCCAGACTCCTGGGACTTAAGTTCTACCATTTATTACCATTGAGGCCTGGGCAGGTCATGTAACTTGCTTCAACCTTAGTTTCTTTCCCTGTGAAATGGGGATAATACAGTACATACCTCATTTGGGGAAGATGCAATGGGACAATACTTATAAAGTGATTTACATGGAGTCTCTTATGGAGAAAGTACTTACTAAATGATAGTTAACATCACTGTTACTCCTTTCTCACTCTGCCCACTGTCCACCCACTGCAACCAGAGGCCTTAACAACTTCCATTCTTTGAAAGATTGCCCTTCAGCCTAGCCCTTCCTCCTCAGTCTACACCCCAAGGTGCTGAGTATCTCCAGCACCATGAATATTGCAGAGCAGTGAGTAATACCTGTTGGGTTCACTGGACCCACTTCATAGGCCCCACTCCCTGTGCCCAGTGAGCAATAAACTTGTCGTAGATTCCACACTGTTTAATAGAAGAAATAGTGCTGATCATGGCTGTGCACTTTGTTCACTATGCAAAGGTACTTGGGAGAGCACAGCTGACTGGAGAGTATATGGTAGCTGGGGGGCCCAGGAAGAAGGTCTTTCTCTATCTCAGACCTTCTTTGAAACTCAGATTCATTGGAAGACTTGCTAGTGTCTTTCAGGGCTTTGAAGTTACCCAACAACCTTTAATTGTGTGCATTGCTTTTTTTTTTTTTTTTGAGATGGAGTCTTGCTCTGTCATCCAGGCTGGAGTGCAGTGGCATGATCTTGGCTCACTGCCTCCGTCTCCTGGCTGGTCTCGAACTCCTGACCTCAGGTGATTCACCTGCTTTGACCTCCCAAAGTGCTGGGATTACAGGCCTGAGCCACCACACCTGGCCTGTGCATTGCTTTTTTTTTTTTTGGACAAGGTCTTGCTCTGTCACCCAGGCTGGAGTACAATGGTGCAATCTTGGCTCACTGCAACCTCTGCCTCCCAGGCTCAAGCGATCCTCCTACCTCAGCCCCCCAAGTAGCTGGGACTACAGGCGCACACCACCACCCCCAGCTAATTTTTGTATTTTTGTAGAGATGGGGCTTTGTCATGTTGCCCAGGCTGGTCTTGAACTCCTGAGTTCAAGCAATCTGCCTGCCTTGGCCTCCCAATATCTAGTATTTTTCTATGATGCGAGATACAACCTCCCATCTGTGATTGTCGTGATATAAATATAAACATATTCGGTATGGAACCCAGGCCTGAAACTTAGGTTCACCATTGTTGTGTCACCTTGTATTGTGACTGCCACTCCTCGAGCTGGCACCCCCCGCACAAATCACATGCTCTCTGTGCCGAGGGCGGAATCTGCTGGTTCCTTCTGAGTGTCAAACTCCTAGTCCCCTGTCCCCTTGGGGCCAGCTCCCTTCTTTTTGCTGTTGGGACTGACTGCGCATCACAGCTTCCAGGGCTGCCGCTCAGGGCCCTCCCCATGCTCTAAGGAGCTGCCCTGTTCCTGGCATTCTGCTGTCTTCCCTTCAGTCTCCTTGAATTGTGGGGAAAGAGGCAGGCGTTTTATAGCCATTTACAGCCAGGCACAGTCCTTCTAGCCTTTTGGAGAGAGGCCTGTCTGTGAGGAGAGGAGATGTGTGACAAAGATTCTATCCTTGACCAAACTCTAGCCCAGCCTCCTCTGAGCTGTTTTTCAATGAGGCTCTATCCTTAGACATATCCTTTAAAATTGGGCAAGAATCCTGCTAAGATTGGGCAAGAATCCTGCTAAGTCAGTTTAGTCAGAATGCGCCACCCTCAACAGTGGATCACCCTCCATATCTGACCAAATCCTCGCCTCCACCATAGCCTTGGCCTGCCTTCAGCAAGAACCCTCTTAGTTCAGTGTAGCCAGAATCCCCATGACCCGTTTCATCTGAATCATTTTCCATCCACCGAGCCTCCTACCCTGCTGCATGGCTAACAACTCCCATTTTCCCCTGTCTCTCTGTCCTGCTGCACAATCCCATTGCGGTGGTCCCTGTCCCTATCATGATAGTCCTGAGTAAAGTCATAAAGTCTGTCTTTTAACAAGGGTGAGGGCCAGTCTTGGTGGCTCACGCCTGTAATCCTAGCACTTTGGGAGGCTGAGGTGGGCAGATCACCTGAGGTCAGGAGTTCGAGACCAGCCTGGCCAACATGGTGAAACCCCATCTCTACTAAAAATACAAAAATTAGCTGGGTGTGGTGGTGCACACCTGTAATCCCAGCTACTCAGGAGGTTGAGGCAGGAGAATTGCTTGAACCTGAGAGGTGGAGGTTGCAGTGAGCCGAGATTGAGCCACTGCACTCCAGCCTGGGTGACAGAGGAAGACTCCGTATCAAAAAAAAAAAAAAAAAAAAACCCAAAAAACCAAAAACACAAAAATAAGGGTGAGAATAATCAATAATCTTTTCTTAACATGTGGGTGGACCGCTGCTGCAGACCACGTGAGATGGGAAAGCTGGGTGCCTGTGTCCAGTTTTCCCTGCTTTCCCATTGAGGGCCTCCGCAGGGATGTAACAACGGGAGAAGCTACAGACATGTCATGATTTCCCTTGTTCTTTGGGAAATCTGAAAGAATGAATCCTTTCCGAATCCCAGAAAGGCAGCCAACCTTTGAGACCTTGAGGGTGGACTGCAAAGTTCACATCTCACAGGGGTCAGGTAGGTTATGTACATTTGTAAAGTGCTCCCGGTGCTACGAAAGGGAGGAGTGGAGACTGTGGCAAAGCAGAGAACACATGTCCCATGGAACGCTGTTGGTCGGCTCCAACCAGTTACGGCTTCTGGGACTGTGGGCCTGGTGTTGTCAGTGTACCTGTGGATAGGAAGTTGGGTTTTTACGTGAAAATTCTAGATTTTGTAAAGTGTTGGCTAGTAGTAAAAATAGAGTATGGCCAAAACAGCTCAGAATTTTGCCCTCAGGCATCTGGTTTGTAATATCTGGGCTAGAGTCTCATTATCCCTCTTGTTGAGGGAGGGAAGTTA